CTCCAGCCAAACTGGCCTGGAGAAAAATTGTTTCCTGATCCCAAAGTGGCAATCACCATTTCCCTGGGTATGTAAGAAAGGGCCATGAGAACTAAGCACTGAGACAACCCATCCTGCCCTCCCTCTCATGATCTGCCTCAGTTCACAGAATCAGCCTTGCTGTCCCATGGCCATCTAGCCTCTGTTTGAAAACCTCCAAAGAAGGAGAGCCCACCATCTCCTCCAGTGAGGAACCACTCTAACTGTCAGGAAGTTCTTCCTAATGTTTAGCCGAAAACTCTTCTGATTTAATTTCAACCCATTGGTTCTGGTCCAGCCTTCTGGGGCAACAGAAAACAACTCCGCACCATCCTCTAGATGACAGCCCAAGTACTTGAAGACGGTTATCCTATCCCCTCTCAGTCATCTCCTCTCCCGGCTAAACATGCCCAGCTCCTTCCGCCTTTCCTCCTAGGACTTTGTCTCCAGACCCCTCACCATCTTCCTTGCCCTCCTCTGGACACGTTCCAGCTTGTCTATATCCTTCTTAAATTGTGGTGCCCAAAACTGAACACAATACTCTAGGTGAGGTCTAACCAGAGCAGAGTAAAGCGATACCATCACATCTCGTGATCTGGACACTATACGTCTGCTGATACAACCCAAAATCGCATTAGCATTTTTAGCAACCACATTACACTGCTGACACATGTTCAGTGTGTCACATGTTCTACTAGATCCTTTTCACACATAATACTGCCAAGACAGGTCTCCCCCAACCTACAATTATGCATTTGATTTTTTCCTACCTAAATGCAGAACTTTACATTTATCCCCACTGACATTCATTTTATTTGTTTTACCCCAGTTTTGCAGCCTGTCAAGATCATTCTGTGTCCTGACTCTGTCTTCTACCGTATTTGCTACCCTTCCCAATTTAGCCACAGAGCAGGCAAAATGTGAGGGAAATGGATATCGGCTGCGAGGCATTTGCGAGCTATTTTGCAGAGAAAGTCTTGGCGCTCCGCCGCGACCTCCCCGCTACAATTGATACAGTGAGCGAACTTGAGGCCCCTTGCACGTCTTTGGAGCCGGGTTTAGCGAGTTTCTGCCCACTCAGCCTGGAAGAAGTTGACAGACTGCTTGTGGCGGTACGCCCAACCTCATGCAACCTTGATCCGTGCCCCTCTTGGCTCATTAAAATGGGGCGCGAGGGGTTCCGAGGTGCCCTACGGAAGATTATTAACAAGTCCCTCCTTGAGGGGCGGTTCCCTGGGGCACTCAAGGAAGCGATGGTCCGGCCTCTCTTAAAAAAACCATCTCTGGACCCGGCCGAATTGGCCAACTATCGTCCAACTTGCCCTATTTGGGCAAGGTGATAGAGAGAGCGGTGGCGGCACAGCTACAGGCATTTCTGGATGACGCTTCTGTCCTCGATCCCCACCAGTCCGGGTTTCGCCCTGGTCATGGGGTGGAGACGGTACTGGTCGCGCTGACTGATGATCTCCGTAGGCATCTGGATCGAGGCGGAGTGGCGGCACTGGTGTTGTTAGATCTGTCGGCCGCTTTTGATACGGTCGACCATCAGTTGCTGGTCCACCGCCTCACCGACGTAGGGATTCAGGGGCTTGCCCTTCAATGGCTGGTCTCTTTTCTCCAAGGTCGGGGACAAAGGGTGGCGATAGGGGATCAGCGGTCCCAGAGGTGGGCCCTGGAATGTGGCGTTCCTCAGGGGGCAGTGCTGTCCCCGATGCTGTTTAACATCTATATGCGTCCTCTTGCCCAGATTGCCCGGAGTTGTGGGCTGGGGTGTCATCAATATGCTGATGACACCCAGCTATATCTGATGTTGGGCGGCCGGTCGGACTCCACTCCAGATGACTTGCACAGGGCGTTACAGGCTGTGGCTGGGTGGCTCAGGCTGAGTCAGCTGAAATTAAACCCGGCAAAGACAGAGGTCCTGGGGCTGAGTCGGATCGGTTCGGGGTTGGGGCTCCCTCTCCCGGCCTTCGATGGGACGCCTTTGGTGCCAGTGTCAGAGGTTAGGAGTTTGGGGGTGCTCCTGGACTCCTCATTAACAATGGAGGCCCAGGTAGCAGCCACTGCCAAGTCGGCATTTTAACATCTTCGGCTGGCAAGGCAGTTGGTTCCCTTCCTTGACCGGAATGACTTGGCCACGGTGATCCATGCGACGGTTACCTCAAGGTTAGACTACTGTAACACTCTCTACATGGTGCTGCCTTTGTCGCAAATTCGGAAGCTGCAACTAGTGCAGACTAGCCAGGCTGTTGATGGATCTTCCTAGACGAGATCACATCCGGCCTGCGCTGAAAGCGCTGCACTGGTTGCCAATAGCGTACCAGGTTCGCTTCAAAGTGCTGGTTATTACCTTTAAAGCCCTATATGGTCAGGGACCAGCCTACCTAAGGGACCGCCTTACCCCACACGTTCCCCCAAGGGCACTACGGTCGGGGAGCCGGAACTTAACCATGACCAAGAACAGGGCATTTTCGGTGGCGGCTCCTATCTGGTGGAATGAGCTCCCAGAGGAGATCAGGGCTCTGCGGGACCTAGTACAGTTCCACAGAGCCTGCAAGACGGAGCTCTTCCGCCAGGCTTTCGAATAGGAGCCGCCACCACCACCAGTATACCACCAACGCATCAGTATACCATCGACGCCCTGGAGGACATCTGGATATGGGCATGGATTACCAAAGCCCAAAATACTCTTTTTTGCATCATGGGCGAGAATGGGACGTTTAGAGGACTGCCATCTTGTTTTTAGATAGCTTTGCCTCAGATAGGTTATAAATTATGATGTAATTTTAATATTTTGTATTGTTTTTACTGTTTTATTAGCTACATGCTGTTAGCCGCCCTGAGCCTTCGGGGAGGGCGGGATATAAATGTAAATAATAAATAAATAAATAAATCTGCGTTGATAAAGATGTTGAACAAAACAGGTCCCAGGACAGATCCTTGAGGCACTCCATTTGTCATTCCTCTCCAGGAAGATGAGGAACCATTCACAAGCACTCTTTGGGTGTGATCTGTCAACCAGTTACAGATCCACTTAACAGTAATAGGATCCAAACCACATTTTTTCCAATTTGTCAACAAGAATATTATGTGAAACCTTATCAATAGCCTTACTGAAATCAAGATAAACTATGTCTACAGCATTCCACTAATCCAGCAAGGCAGTAACTTTCTAAAAAAAAAGAGATAAGGTTAGTCTGACATGATTTGTTCTTGAGAAACCCATGCTGGCTCTTAGTAATTACAGCCATCCTTTCTGTATGCTCAAGGACTGTCCGGTTGATTATTTGTTCTAAAACTTTCCCAGGTATAGATGTCAAGCTGTCGGGTCGGTAGTTACCCAGATTCATCAGGTATCTGATGAAGTGTGTGTGCACACGGAAGCTTATACCCAGAATTAAACTTTGTTGGTCTTAAAGATGCCCCTGGATTCCAACTTTGTTCTGTTGCTTCAGACCAACCACCTGAAATGGTTGTTTGGTTTTGGTTGGTCCTAATAAAAGGTATTATGTGGAATGGATTCTATTCTCTGCGGAATGCCTTTGTGTAGAAATTTCAAAGGCTACAAACTGACTGCACAGAGCTGATCTTTGGGGGGGGGGGGAGAATATCCAGACGTTATGCAGCCAATGTGTACCAGCCTTGAGTTTTTAAAGTTGGTGAGGCATATTCTATCCAAGGTGCTGGCCTTGACTTCCAGGTGCCGGCACGGCGAGAACGGTTGACACCGGGAAGCTCTCCCATGTGCCGGCCGGATCGACATTTTTATAGAGGAGTTTGGGGGCTCCCAAACTCCACTTCATCAGGTATCTGATGAAGTGTGTGTGCACACGGAAGCTTATACCCAGAATTAAACTTTGTTGGTCTTAAAGATGCCCCTGGATTCCAACTTTGTTCTGTTGCTTCAGACCAACCACCTGAAATGGTTGTTTGGTTTTGGTTGGTCCTAATAAAAGGTATTATGTGGAATGGATTCTATTCTCTGCGGAATGCCTTTGTGTAGAAATTTCAAAGGCTACAAACTGACTGCACAGAGCTGATCTTTGGGGGGGGGGGGAGAATATCCAGACGTTATGCAGCCAATGTGTACCAGCCTTGAGTTTTTAAAGTTGGTGAGGCATATTCTATCCAAGGTGCTGGCCTTGACTTCCAGGTGCCGGCACGGCGAGAACGGTTGACACCGGGAAGCTCTCCCATGTGCCGGCCGGAGCAACGATTTTTATAGAGGAGTTTGGGGGCTCCCAAACTCCACTGAGCTCCCCGAAGAGGAGCACAGTGCAAGGGGCTCGATTGGGACTCCCTGCAAGCAGCAGCAAGCGGGTGGGAGTCCTTTGATCACCCCAAGGCAATAACCGATTGTGAGTGCCCATGCCAGGCATGGGCGCGAAGCTGTGACCACCCGAGTGAGAGGGAGAAGCAGAAAACTTCAACTGAACTGCTTAAA